AATGTTTACTATGGATATTGAAGTTGTTTTGTCTGCATCTTTAGGTTCAAGAATGTTATGAGCTTTCTGCTGAGTATGAAGGAAAGAATGATCCAAGGAAACTCGAGGAGCTTGGCAGTGTCTTGACAAGTCTGGATCCTGGGGACTCCATTGTTATTGCTAAATCATTCTCTAACATGCTTAACTTGGCCAACTTGGCTGAGGAGGTCCAGATTGCGTATCGTCGGAGGATCAAGAACGTGAAAAGGGGTGATTTATCTGATGAGAGTTCTGCAACAACTGAATCAGACATTGAAGAAACTCTCAAGAGACTTGTGGGGGATCTGAAGAAGTCTCCTGAGGGAATTTTTGATGCTCTGAAGAATCAGACTGTAGATTTGGTCCTTACTGCCCATCCTACCCAGTCAGTCCGTAGATCTTTGCTTCAGAAGCATGGAAGGTTGGTTTGCCATGCATCTGATGTTGTGCTTGCTTTCTTTTGGAATTCTAAGGGCTTTAGTTCTCCATTTCAAACTTCAATGCTCTATAATGTGAAGGTTTATTTCACTTACATTAATGATTTTTGAGTCCCACTGTTTCTTATCTAATCTTTTTTATTTCCCATTTTCTTCTTTTTAGGATTCGAGATTGCTTAGCTCAGCTGTATGCCAAAGACATTACGCCTGATGACAAGCAGGAGCTTGATGAAGCTCTGCAGCGAGAGGTAATATAGCTTCCTAGTTTATTTGATGCTGCCTTTATGTGGGTCAAAGGGATGGCATGGCACATCAACTTTAGAATTTTCTCTTCCAAATTGGTCGTTTTGGTAGTACTCAGTGAAGAAAATACTTCTTTTTTGGCCATGTCATGTCTTTAAACTCTGTTGTTGCTGAAAAGGAAGTAGTGACTAGGGAGTTTGTTCCTTTTCTTTTCCCTATAGATCCAAGCTGCATTTCGTACAGATGAGATCCGAAGGACACCTCCAACTCCACAAGATGAGATGAGGGCAGGAATGAGTTACTTCCATGAAACAATTTGGAAGGGTGTTCCTAAATTCTTGCGCCGCATCGACACAGCATTAAAGAATATTGGGATTAATGAACGTGTTCCTTACAATGCACCTCTAATTCAGTTTTCTTCTTGGATGGGTGGTGACCGTGATGGTATGAACTATCTTCATTGAAAAATGCACCTTTTTCAGTTTTTTTCGTGAATGAAATGGAATTTTTACTAAGGGGATTACAAAAATTTGATCTTTATTTCTCGTAACTTTGAATGGTAGGCAAACACTCTTTTTTTGCTTAACTTTCCACAGTCAGCAATATTGGGATGATGATCTTATTTGTTTACTGCATTTTCTAGTATTGCACGTCTATCTCCTTAGCTTCCTGTTTCTCTCTGTCTGTCTTTAATAATCGACTTATATGGACTGCAGGTAACCCGAGGGTAACACCTGAAGTCACAAGAGATGTTTGCTTGTTGGCTAGGATGATGGCTGCCAACTTGTACTATTCCCGAATTGAGGACCTAATGTTCGAGGTATTTGATAAGCTGCTGTATAGATTCGTCTTTCCTGTGGACAAGGCTTTGTTGATTGGCTGCTCCCCTCTCTTTATATATCCAGTATATGCTAATATGCTTCTGATCTTTGGTTGCAGTTGTCTATGTGGCGATGCACTGATGAACTCCGTGTTCGTGCAGAAGAACTCCATAGGTCCTCAAAGAGAGATGCAAAACACTACATAGGTAAACACTTAAACTATGCCAGAG